TGGCTGTGTCCATACCAAGTGTGTGCCAAACACGGGGTTGAACAGTTAATGCAAAGAGTGCCTACATTGCAGTGACGTTCACAATTGAGAACAGGCAAATGTTCTGAGGATCACTGCCCCTGGCCCTGGCACATAGTATATGACTGTCCTACGTGTCATGAGAGAAGAGCACCATTGTGCGCAGCAAATGGATGCATGACATAAATGGAGACAAAAACTTCAGAAAGGCTGTAAGGCATGGGACCTAGGTGTGGGAAGTGAGCTACAACATGTTACCGAAGTGGCATCTGCAGGAATGCACTCCTCTCTCTCTCTCTCTCTCTCTCTCCTAGTTCACTCCCAATCAGATATCACGCGTGCTTCGCTCACCCATGGCTGCTTTCTTGCCCAGCTTAGTCTCTCCACTCGAGTCTTCCATTAAAACTTTGCTACTCTGCGTTGTTCCTGAAGCAAACATCATGTTGGGTTGCAAATCGGCTACCCATGAGTCAGACAGGTCACCTGCCCAGCACAACGAAAGCAAAAGAAGGAAAACAAAAGCAAAAAAGATCAATCCATGCTTCGGTGTAGGAGGACGAACTAAACAAGGAAAGGGACGAGAAGTGGGAAAAGTTAGTAGTCCTGCCGATACCTCTTCACAAAAAGAACCTTCTTCCTGTAACATTTGCCCTCGGGCTCTCCTTCCTTGCCTCCTCTCTCTCTCTCAGACACAACTAATTCATGCCATTCATCTAGGCCCATCAGGATTCGAATTTGGGTCTGTATTTCAATATTTCATGGGTTTGACAACGCAGCTAGGCTCATTGGTGCTATGTGATCTGTGGCTGAGTTTGACTTCTGAGAAAACCTAGGCCCAGTAGGGTCTATTGTGCCCCGGTAGGKCCTGACGGTTGACTTGCCTCARGCCTGAGTTGACCCTTCCGGGCCCTGGGGGTGTCTTTGACCCCCAGAACCCTGAGCMCTTCWACCTGAGGGGACATCTCCGACAACTTCTGGCCCTAGACAGCAGCTTTTGACCCCAAAATTCGGACTCAGACTGGCCAACGGCTACAACCCACTGCCTCAGGCCCTGGGGGTGTCTTTGACCCCCAGAACCCTAAACCCTTCTACCT